AATAGATGTCTTTGTTTTAGGCTATCCACTCGGTGCAACCATAGGTCAAATAAATCAAATCAAATCATGTTATTCTCTATATAGGGTTACAATGTGGGGGTTTACAGGAATTTGGATTTTGTTGTGGTTTGCATGTTTTAAAATACTAATTACAGAGGGGGTCCAATGGACACTAGCATGGCTAGGCATTCGGGACAGGTCTTAGATTATTTCTTAACATTAAATCCTTACGATTATGGTATTAGGTTAGTGTGATACATTTTATTTGTGAGTTAGCAATGTGATTGCTTTTGTTTTAACACAATACTCCAAAGTGTCTATATTGGAGTATCATAGGCAAACTTATGACTAGTTAGGATCATTATTTTAAGATTAAAATTTAGTATTTCTGTGTGTTAAGTCAGTGGTTAGTGTGTGTAATTGTGAACCACAGGTGGTTAATCATGTAGTAGTTGTCGGGGTGGTATCAGGGAGATAAGATGTTTTCTAACTGTAGTTTTGAAAGTGAGAATGTGTCCTGCAGTTCTAGAGTTTTCAGTGGATGTTCAGATTTTAGGTCTTTGAAATTACATGAATTTTGTAAAGGTTTTGGTCGGTCACGGGGAATGTCATTGAATTTGTTTGTGTTGGTGTGATGCCTGGTGGATCTGGCAAAACTGTATCAGAAAGCATTTTAGGTAAAGATTTAATTTGGAATTAAGGTCTGTAGATTAGATTGACACAGTAGTTAAAGTGGATGTTTCGCGAAAACGGGTGTAAGTTTAAGAGCTATGAAGAGTGGGGGGGGGGGGGGGGCGGGGTGGGGGGGGGTGTTGCAGGGCTGGGATTTTTTTTTTTTTGTTTCTTTTTCTCTTTTTTTTTTTTTTTTTTAGTGATTATTTCTTAACTGGGCTTTTTGTTGGGTTATGATTGGCTTTAGATGTGTTGGTGCATTTGATCCCCAAGCCACAGATAGCATAGGTGAGGTATGAAATTATAAGTTAATGTATAGTGTGAGAAGGGCAGTTTGCGGCACATTAGCTCATCGTATCTTAGAGAGGATCCCCTCCGTTTTGGCTACTTTTTTGTTGTGTTGGATATGTGTGCTGAAAATTTTGTTGTTGTCGAGGTATAGGCCAAGGGAAATTGCCCTCATTATGTTTGGCAATTAGAGTGTGTTGATCTAATGTTAAAGTTGCGCATCACCCGCTCTGCTCTACCAAAACATAATATAGTAGGTTTGTTCAGTGTTAAGTGTAAGTTTATTGGGGGGGCCTGTCATTCAAGTCGATATTTTGAGCAGCTCATTGTTAACAATGGTGTTGTGGGTGTCAAGATTAGGAGTGGGGAGATGACATAAGTCGTGTCGTCAGCAAAGAGAATGGGTTTCAAGTGTTAGGATACTGTTTGGAAGATTATTGATGTAAATGAGAAGAGCAGGGGGTCAAGGAATGTGATTGCGAAGGACTGACTAAATGGTTGGGCGGAATATAAAGCATTAAATTACTGATTTTTATAATCCCTGGAAAGCAGGATGAAAGATGGTGTAATATACACTTGAAATTTCTAGAGGGACGAGTTCCTATTCTGCACAAGTAAATCACTCCCTTAGAGAGCAAAAGGCTAGCACAGGATGCAAGCAATCACCCCCAATGAAAAGCATGAAGCAACCCTAATGCTAAGAGACAATACAAAGTGTCAGGGGCACTAGAATGTTCACATGCTCCCCGCATACATTAATGGGGGAATTACACAAAATTTGCCCTGACTTGTCTTCAGAAGGGGGGCACTGGAGGCGCGTAAAGTGTACATATAAAGCATATGAAAGAAGCGACACTGCACGGCAAAGCCAAACTGACCCATGCGAGGGCAAGTCAAGTCACCTCCCGGATTAAAACCAATGACCTAACGAGTAAGGTCAGGTTAGGTCACATCCACCTAAGGAAGAAGCACAGCATCACACACTTATTTGCTCATAGCTAGTCAGGTCCAATCAACACCAACTCTTTAGTACAATAAGAAAGGAGGAAAACACAGCGTAGGGCCGTTGGCCCATACTGGGCAGGTTCCTTGCAATATACAACCCCTATCAGAATATTTGCCCATCCCTCTTTACTTTTACCACTAATTAATAAGCTTTTTATATCCACTTATCATGCGCAGTCCACGCATGTGTCTTATCAATCCTATTTTTAAAGTCTACACAACGTCGTAGCCTCTATGACTGTATCTCGCGGTGTTTCGTTCATACTATACCTCAACTCTATTTACCTACATGTGCTTTCCCTCATATCTTCCTGAATCTCAATTTTTTTTCTCATAACTTAAAATCATTGCTGAGAGTCCTGACTAGGCTAGATTTTCTTAGCACGCTATTTACTTTACCTTTATTTATTCCTGTTTTCATTTATACACTCAATCATATCACCCTTAATTCTAGGGCTCTTTCTGAAGGTGCAGATTCTGGGCTTCCAATCTTTCAGCATAGGCCTTCTGGGAATATTTATGATACATGCGATCACTTTGTATCCTCCTTCGTATGTTTCCAGTGCCTTTTACATCTATTCTGTAATACGTTGACCAGACTGTGCAGATAATCTAAAATGAGGCCTAACTTTAAGATATTTACGAGTTGTTAGGTAAGACACATATGCAACAGTTAGGTACTTTATTATGAAAACGTTTCGCTACTCAGTAGGCTTCTTCAGTCAAGTACAGAAAAAGTTGTAGAAGCAGATGATACTTGCAGACGATGTTATCAGTCCATCACCCGCAAAATGTTTCGCCTACACAGTAGGCTTCTTCAGTCAAGTACTGATAAGTTGCATAGAGCAGTAGATTCTTGAAGTCGATGTTAATCAGTCCTTCACCCATAAGTTTTGAGGTGTGTTGCATGATTACATCGTCTTCAAGTTTCTTTCTGCTTCTATCAACTTTTCTGTACTGACATGAAGACTACATGTCGTAGGCGACGAAAAACGTTTTGAGGGTGTATGGAACTGATTACATTCGCTTCAAGTATCTTTGCTTCTATCTACTTTTCGACTTGACTGAAGAAGGCCTACTGTGTAGGCGACAAGTTTCATAATAAATGGATACAACATGTTGCAATGTGTTTACTAACAACCTGTCGGTATTTTATACCATTTTAATGTTCATATATAGAGTTGAAGAACAACCTGAGGACTCCTATTATATATGCTTCCTGTTATGAAGCCAAGGATTCTGTTCGCTTTATTGCAAACACTTATGCACTGTTTTGGTTTGAGATTACTGATAACCAAAACTCCCAAATCCTTCTCGCAATCAGTAATATTAAGATCTACATGTTTTAGTTTATATGTGGTATGGTTATTTTTTTGTCCAATGTTTCGAACTTTGCATTTGTCTATATTCAACTGCATCTGCCACTTCTCCGATCACTGCATCAGTTTATTCAAATCTTCATGGAGTGCTCTAATATCCTCATTAGAATGAATTAGGCGACCTATTTTGGTGTCACCAGGAAACTTGCTTATGTCACTATTTATTCCCTCATCAGTGTCGTTTACATAAATTGTGAACAGCAAATGGTCCAACACTGACCCCTGTGGAACACCACTCGTGACGCGCCTCCACTCTTGTGTCTTCCCATTGATGCAAACTCTGCTGCTTATCTGTCAACCATGCCTTTACCAGGAAAAAAATTCTCCTCCTATTCCGTGTGCCTTAATTTTCCTCAATAGCCTCTGATGTGGAACTCTATCAAAAGCCTTACTGAAGTCCGTATACACAATATAATATTCATTACCATCATCTACCTCCTCAAATACTTCGGTGAAAAAAGTTAGTAAATTTGTTAGGCAGGAACGTCCCTTTGTAAAACCGTGCTGAGATTAATTAATCAATTTATGCCTTTATTGCCTCGGCAATAACTGATTCCATTAATTTTCCCACAATGGAGGTAAGGCTTATTGGTCTGTAGTTCTAAGATACGGACCTGTCTCCTGCTTTGTAAATAGGCATTACATTTGCCATTTTCCATTTGTCTGGCATCATGCCAGTTTGTAGCGATATGTTGAAAAGACTGGCCAAAGGTTTAATAAGCTCCTTTTTACATTCCTTTAAAACCTGTCCAGTCTGGCTATGGATAATACGTCGGTTTATGTGCGGGCAACAGTAACAGCCTGGTTAATCAGAACCTGATCCACTACGAAGCTTGGTCACGGACCGGGACCTGGGGGCGTTGACCGCCGAAACCCCCTCCAGATCAAGGTTGACTGTCTTAACCAAATGGAAGATAGTTTCTTGAACAACGAGGCCAGGGACACGCCAGGCTTATCAAGAAGCCAGCTGTAACTCCTACACCTAATTTCTATAGTACAATGAGCGAAACGTGCATAAGACAAGTTGGCAAGACTTCAGTCTATTTCAGACTTGTCCTAACCTACCAGTTATCAAGGGACAATGTTAAATAACAAACAATCCGGCGATTATGTAAAGCACCCTTACCTGAGGTTATGAGATATTGACTTAACTAAATAAGGACTGAGTCAGTAAAACCCTCGAGTCATATTGTACAAAGCATGACCTTCATGTTTTACAGAAGACTCGGTTAGGTTTCTCTCCATGTTGGAAATGCTATGTCAATAACTTGCATTGCTGGCCAGTTCGGTGAGTGATTGCAAGCACTCTCATGGTTAAAAATGGCATTCAACTCCTGTGTTATTCTCACTGAATATTGATTGCGAGCTACTCAAGCTCAAGGCGGTTATCCTGATTGTTATACATAGGAAAGGAGACACAAGGTACAGGGGTCCTTGTAAACTGCCCGGGAAAAGCTCAGAGCTCAACCGTTACAACAGAAACAAAGCTGTATGGCTTGAGGTCAATGAAAACAGTTTAGTGGAAAACTTCTTAGTCATTGATCATGTATATAATACACGGATTTTCCATGGAATACCTTAATATAGTATAAGTTTAAAGCAAATTAATGAAAGTAATATTTATGGTAACTGCATTTAACAGTAAGTGTTCCACAGCTCACGACAACGTTAAGATGTTCATCACACACTGTGGTCTCCTGAGCTTACAAGAATCCATCTACCATGCTACACCTCTCCTCGCACTGCCCATCTTCGCCGACCAGCCCAGGAACGCCATGTTTGTTAGGAACTCTGAACTAGGACACTTTTTGGAGTGGGAAGAGCTCACTGAGGACATGATCATCGACGCTGTTGCCGACATTATTACAAATACCAAGTTAGTATTCAGTAATCATATATGCTGCAAAATAGAAGGCAATGTTAATAAAGTATTATGCTATACTGCGACGCTAGATTTTTTAAAATAGAGCTGTCTTGAAAGTTTCGTTGTCAAGTTCTGGCTCTAAAGTGTTCAACCTGGCAACATAAAGCAATGCACCTAAAAAAAGTAAATTGTACTGGAACCGATAATCTGGTTACCAGCTGGTCCCCTTTTCCCATTTGTCATTATATATCCCCACCAAAATATTTTTTCATATATTTCTCCAGGCAATTATTTTTGTATATTGATTCATTTAAATTTTTATTAATAAATAAAAATTGATTTTCTTGATTCTTAAATACATTAAGTTTTTCAGTCTCTAGATAATCCTTTCATTCTCCCAGCTTCCTTCTTAGACGTCTCAGATAAAGTTCTCAACCAATTGTTCATAATTATAAACTATTTTTAGTATCTTTACACCTCGTAATGGTGGCTCAGGGACCCCCCCATCCATCGCCCCAAGTTTTGCACTTTCTGTTGGTTCATGTCAGTTGTCTAACCAATGGCAAGTGCTTCTCATGTCAGGCCAGTTTGCCTTGCGGACGGGTTCATGCTAATGAATCATTAAGAAATCGTTAGTTCGCTTCTATTTTGTATCCTGTAAACAGGTACTCAGTTGGTGCTCAGTGTTAGTGATGTGTTAAACTACGATGTTTGAGTCTGTAGCAACTTTATCGTCCCCTAAAGGAGACGGTACACACACACACACACAACACACACACACACACACACACACACACACACACACACACACACACACACACACACACACACACACTCAGACACACACACACACAGGGACGGGAAATCCTGTGCCACAAACCTACTAGAGTTCCATGACAGGGTGACAGCAGTAAGACAAGAGAGAGAGGGGTGGGTAGATTGCGTTTTCTTGGACTGTAAGAAGGCTTTTGACACAGTTACACACAAGAGATTAATGCATAAGCTGGAGGACCAGGCAGGGATAGCAGGGAAGGCACTGCAATGGATCATGGAATTCCTGTCAGGAAGACATCGGTGAGTCATGGTACGTGACGAGGTGCCAGAGTGGGCGCCTGTGACGAGCAGGGTTCCACTGAGGTCAGTCCTAGAACCGGTGCTGTTTCTGGTATATGTGAACAACATGATGGAAGAAATTGACTCAGAAGTGTCCCTGTTTACAGATGATGTGAAGTTGATGAGAGAATTCAATCGTACGAGGACTAGGCAGGACCAAAACAACAAAGAGATCTGGACAGGCTGCAAGCATGGTCCAGCAACTAGTTCCTTGAATTTAACCCTGCCAAATGCAAAGTCATGAAAATCGGTGAAGGGCAAAGAAGACCACAGACAGAGTACAGGCTAGGTGGGGAAAGACTTCAAACCTCACTCAAGGAAATGGATCTTAGGGTGAGTATAATACAGAGCACATCTGAAGCGCACATCAACCAGATAACTGCTGCAGCAGTAAGGAATTGTTCAAGACACCATGAACATCAGGCCCATACTGGAGTATGCAGCATCAGTTTGGAACTTACACCTGGTCAAGCACGTCAAGAAATTAGAAAAAGTGCAAAGGTTTGCAACAAGACTAGTTCCAGAGCTAAGGGGAATGCCCTACGAAGGAAGGTTAAGGAAAATCGGCCTGACGACACTGGAGGGCAGGAGGGTCAGGGGTGACATGATAACATACAAAATACTGCGAGGAATTGACAAGGTGGACAGAGACAGGATGTTCCACAGATGGGACACAGAAACAAGGGGTCACAATTGGAAGTTGAGGATTCAGATAAGTCAAAAAGATGTTAGGAAGCATTTCTTTAGTCATGGAATTGTGAGGAGGTGGAACAGTCTGGCAAGTGACGTAGTTGAGGCAGGAACCATACACAGTTTTAAGATGAGGTATGATAAAGCTCATAGAGCAGAGAGAGAGGAAACCCAGTAGCGATCAGTGAAGAGGCGGGGCCAGAAGCTATGAATCGACCCCCGCAACCACTAATAGGTGAGTACACACACACACACACACACACACACACACACACACACACACACACACACACACACACACACACACACACACACACAAACACACACACACACACACACACACACACACACACACACACACACACACACACACACACTCACACACACACACACACACACACACACACACACACACACACACAAACACACACACACAAACACACACACACACACACACACACACACACACACACACACACACACACACACACACACACACACACACACACACACACACACACACACACACACACACACACACACACACACACACACAAAACACACACACACAAACACACACACACACACACACACACACACACACACACACACACACACACACACACACACACACACACACACACACACACACACACACATTATTGACTGATCACCTAACACAAGCAAGCACAGGGATTAATTAGCAGTTTTCCTGCTGCAGGCAGTGAAGTCAGGATACCAAGCTGGCGAAGCCTCAAAGGGTGAAGGAACGGGAAACCAGTGACCAAGCAGAGTATGGACACTGAGGAGGAAGAGTCAGGATGTCCATCGACAGAGCCGGAAATTTTGTCTAGATTCAAACACATGATGGATGAACCGTGAAAGAGAGAAGATAAATAATTCTAATGTTACATGACTAGTTTTTATACTTTATATTCTTTTGGTTTGAAGACTATCAGTAATGCTGTATATAGTTTCTCAGCAGTCAGGACCACTTTCAATAACATTTTCCGGATATATGCATTGAATGGCTATTCCTGTAGATATGTACATCCCATGCTGACTTACTCTCAAGTCCCTAAGTAAAACACACGGAACTATTACACACAGAAACAAGCAAGTCATCTTTAAATCGTTTCCACTAACTGTGTCGACAAACTTGTTCAGTCATATCAAAATATTATTTACTTCTTCAGAAATTAATCGTAAGTCTCCATCAGGTTTAATTCGTCTTAACTTCCGTGTAGCTAACTAAATGAGACGAGGTTCAGTGAAGCTTGTCTCATTTACATGTCTGATCACTTGACGCTAAGAGGGAGTAAACACAGCAACTGGCAAGGTAATAGGTAAGGAGTGGAGCTGAGACTCAACCCATGCAACCACTAACAGACGAATACAAAAACTGAGTTCACATATAACAAACACCTGATATCGTAAAATCTTCGTTTTCTTTTCATTTCACTCATCCTCAGGTATAAAGAAAACATGCTGAGGATGTCGAGGTTGATGCGGGATCAATTGACCACGTCCAAGGAGCGAGCAGTGTTCTGGACGGAGTACGTCATCCGTCATCATGGAGCGCCTCACCTGAGGTCCCCGGCAGCACAGCTCTCCTGGGTGGAGTTCCTCATGCTCGACGTTATCCTACTCCTCCATTTGGCTTTATTTATCATTTACTTCATACTGCGTCGCATTCTGAAAGTGATTTCAGCAAAAATCCTTAACAGAAAGAAGAAAATTGAATAGGATTTATATTCTCATATACATGAGGTACTCATTGAAAAAGTACTTGGTAATGAAGAGGACCCAAGACACGTAAATACTATCAATCTATCTCCTCACTTACGAAACCTAAATTTTCACGTTTGTAAAGAACTCGCTCCCACAGATTCCTTTTCAATTTATGAGTGTGTATCCTCTGCCTTGTGATCTGAGGTCTGGTGTTGTCTTTTTGTTTTAATATTCGAACTGTACCTCTCGATAAATTGGGAAAACCTCATAAAACGTTTGAACATGCGTTAGTAAATTGGTTATTTTAGTTCACTGTGTACCTTGGATTTATTTTACTCTCGTGACTTTCATTTTAGCAGAATATTTCGTAAATCAACACTGACGATGTGGCATGATACACTGAAACGCTTAGCAAATAAAAGAAGATATGAACCATGACTATTGCATTATTGTTCCTTATATAGATATAAATGAGAAGAAAATCTGTTTCTGACGTTTCGTTTCTCAGGACTCACCTGCTGGGGCTCTACTCATATTTTCTTCATAACTCTGCTACTGAAGAAGCATTTGCAATTGCAGTTCAATAGGCCTAAAGCAACATCAAATCCTAGTGGATGCTCTGCATATATATAAAGATATATCAAGCAGGTCCATGGCTGAGAGAAATATAATGGAATCAAGTTTAATAAGAAAATAGTTTTGGAATTAATATGAATATTGCAGTAGGATTAATTTATAATAATACAGTTTGGGAAAAACTTAAGATACATTCGACAAGTTAAAATCTTAAAGCATAGGTAGAATATAAGTTGTGTTTGACAGATCCTTGACCATCTACCTACATAATTATTAAAAAGGTCAGGTGTTGTAAGTTGACCGCGAGGTGTAGTCTCGCCCTTATATTCCTTTCTGTTGATCTTTTATTTTTACAGTTTGTTGATAATGTGAGAACCACGAAAGTGCTTGGAGTTTAACTATTTTTTCATAGTGGTTGTTCTGCATATTGTAGTATCACTCGTTTACTGTGACAAGACCAGGTCGAGCAATTATTAGCTCTGGACTACTTCCAGGAAATCACTGGACTCCAGATTATCGGTCAAAGATGTCCAGTCAATTTCACTACTACTACGTTACCGTGTCTAGAAGCCCTAACAATTTGATCCCAAAGAAATCTCCCTCTATTGCTTTCTAATCCTGGAGGTCAGTATGTTACTCTGACAGATTCTGTGACTAACCATCTATTTTATACCTGTTTTAATGCAACAGTTTATATTGTCTCGTTTACCTGGAGGTTACCTTGAGAGGGTTTCGGGGGTCAACGCCTACGCAGCCCGGTGTGAAGCCATACCTCGTAGAGGATCAGGGTCTGATCAACCAGGTTGTTACTGCTGGCCGCACGTAAACCGACGTACGAACCACAGCCCGACTGATCAGGTACTGTCTTTAGGTGCCTGTCCAGGGCCTTTTTGAGGACAGCCAGGGGTCTATTGGTAATCCCTTTTATGTATGCTGGGAGAGAGTTGAACAGTCTTGGGCCCTTGACACTTATTATGTTGTCTCTTAGTGTGCTCGTGGCGCCCCTGCTTCTCATTGAGGGAACGTTGCATCTCCTGCAGAATCTTTTGCTTTTGTCGGGAGCAATTTTCGTGTGCAAGTTTGGTACTAATCCCTCTGGGATTATCCAAGTGTATATTATCATGCATCTTTCATGCCTGTGTTTCAAGGAATACAAATCAAGGAACTTCAACCATTCCAAGTAATTTAGGTGCTTTATCGTACGCATGCGTGTCGTGAAAGTTCTCTGCACATTCTCCAGGTCAGCAATTCCGCCTGCCTTGAAGGGGAGAGTTAGTGTACAGCAATATTCCAGCCTAGAGAGAACAAATGATTTGAAGGGAATCATCATATGCTTTGCATCCCTAGTTTTGAAGATTCTCATTATCCATCCCATCATTTTTCTAGCACATGAGGTACATACATTGTTGTGGTCTTTGAAGGTGAGATCCTCTGGCATTATCACTCCCAGATCTTTCACAATAGTTTTTCTATCTATAGTGTGGTTAGAATGTGTTTTATACTCTGATAACGTTTTAATTTCCTCAAGTTTTCCATATCTGAGTAGTTGAAATTTCTCTTCATTGAACTTCATATTGTTTTATGAGGCCCATTTAAAGATTTGGTCGATGTCCGTTTGGAGTCTTGCCGTGTCTTCGATGGAGGTCACTGTCATGGCAGTTCGAGTGTCATCCGCAAAGGAAGACACGGAGCTAAGGCTTACATCTCTGTCTATGTCAGATATGAGGATGGGAGCGAGTACTTGTCTTGTGGAACAGAGCTTTTTTCTGTAGCCGCCTCAGTCTTTACTTTGTTTACTATTACATTTTGTGTTCTATATGTTAGGAAGTTATAGATCCGTCTACCAACTTTTCCTGTTACTCCTTTGTCACACATTTTGTGCGCTATTACTCCATGGTCGCATTTGTCGAAGGCTTTCACAAAGTCTGTGTATCCTGCATCTGCATTTTGTTTATCCTCTAAAGAATCCAGGACCTTGTTCCGGATGCTTTAGAGGATATCCTGGATGCTTTAGAGGATGTCCAACTACTGGACATTGGTCCAGTAGTTGGGACAGACAGGAGTGACCTGCTCTAAACCCGTGTTACCCAAGGTTGTGTAATTGATGGATATATAGGCGTTTGGCGATCATACTTCTGTATTTCTTTGCAATTGCTCTACTGCCACCTTTGTGGAGTGGGGCTATGTCTGTTGTTTTTAGTGAGTGTGGGATGACTCCTGTGTCCATGCTCCATCTCCATAGAATGCTGAAGGCACGTGATAGGGGCTTCTTGCAGTTCTTGATGAACATGGAGTTCCACGAGTCTGGGCCTGGGGCAGAGTGCATGGGCATGTCATTAATTGCCTGGGCAGAGTGCATGGGCATGTCATTAATTGCCTTTTGACATCTAATGCTACTCCACCCCCCTTCCCATTATGTTTATCTACTTGGAACAACTTAAACCTTTGAATATGGGATCTGACAATCATATCCTGACTCTTTAAATTATACCATGTTTCAGTTATTGCAGTAACAGCAAAGTTTCCCACACATGCTACTAAATGTAATTCAGTAATTTTATTCTTAGCACTTTGACTATTAGTATAAAATACGTTCATGTTTTTACTTCTGCATCTCTTTCCTATTCAGCTTTGCTTTTCCGCAAAGCTGGACAGCCATTTATTTCTATCATCCTTTCTTGGCAAAATGCCACATGTAACAGGGTGCCCTCGCTTCTTCCTAATTATGTTTATTGCTGTCCTATACCTTCTAATTAAATCCTTACTTCTATCCTTGCCTACATTATTGCCTTCAAAACTGAGGCAAATAATTGGATTGATCCCATAACTATGCATGATGTTGCCAATTGGCTAATAATAGCCCCCATCCCAGCTCCATGAGAGCAAACCCTCTTTTTCCAACTCCATTCCTTCAAGAAGAAAGCCCTATCCATATACCTAATCCGACTGTCCTAAACAAGCACAATGTGCATTCCTTCCTTTGTGTTCTTCATCATGTCGTTCCCAGCAGTCTACTCACATTCGTCGGGTAACACGGAGAATGAGTTCGAAGTTTCTACAGCAGTCTCCTGGCTCTTCATCGTTTCCACCTCTTCATCCGTCCTCTTGATCCTCAGCTTCGCTCCATGCTGCCCAGCCGCTGTCCAGCTTCCTTTCTTGACCTGAGGATTCACAACAGGAGGATTACTACGAATCCTCTTGTTTTCCTTCAGTCAATTGCGGTATCTCGAGCCTAGCCACCTTCAACTCCTTAAGCTACTGGTAAAGTTGCTTGATAAATGCATGAGTGCAAGGTGTTGGATTTGAGTTGATCTTGCACACGAGTTGGTAGGGTAGTCAAAGCTTGCTCTTTGGGTAGTACCGAAACTGAGCTGGACATATGTTGCTGTTGTTAAGTAGGTTTTGGTTTAAGAAGGTCGTGCATAATATGGGTCAATAGGCCTGCTGCAGTGTTCCTCCATTCTTGTGTTCTTATAGGGGGCATCGTTGGTTCAGTTTCAGAGAGATCTCACTGAGCATGTCTTCACACTAGCAAGTCCACATCACCACTGAACAAGTTCGAGGTATTGCTGCCCAAGACCAAACCCATCCTAGTGAGAGCTAGTTAATGCCCTCCCTCTCATAATCAGTCCTTTGAAATTTTTCGAGTCTTGTCCAGAATTGCAGAGTTGTGACACAAGTGCACTGGGAGATTTCAATATCCATAATCTGCAACAAAATAACGGGCTATGTAACAGGTATAAGCAAATTCTAGGACTAAAGGGTTACACTCAATTAATTAATTCACCAACCCAGATCCCACAAACTTTGCAAAAGCCTTTGACAAGTGTGACCATTGTGTAACAGCGCACAAAATGCGTGACAGAGGAATAACAGGAAAAGTTGGTAGATGGATCTATAATTTTCTAACAAATATAACACAAGAAGCAGTAGTAAACAGAATCAAGTCTGAGGCGGCTACGGTGAAAAGCACAGTACTCGCTCCCATCCTGTTCCTCATCCTCATATCTGACACAGACAAGGATGTAAGCCACAGCACTGTGTCTTCCTTTGCAGATGACACCCGAGTTTGCATGACAGTGTCCTCTATTGAAGACACTTCAAGACTCCAGGTGGACATCAACCAAATCTTTAAATGGGCCGTAGAAAACAATATGAAGTTCAGTATTGAGAAATTTCAATTACTCCGATGTGGAAAACGTGAGGAAATTAAAACTACATCGGAGTATAAAACAAATACCAACCACAGAATAGAGCGAAAAGCTAATGTAAAAGATCTGGGATTCATCATGTCAGAGAATCTCACCTTCAAGGACCATAACATTGTATCAATCGCATCTGCTAGAAAAATGACAGGATGGATAATGAGAACCTTCAAAACTAGGGAGGCCAAGCCCATGATGACACTCTTCAGGTCGCTTGTTCTATCTAGGCTGGAATATTGCTGCACACTAACAGCACCTTTCAAGGCAGGTGAAATTGCTAACCTAGAAAATGTACAGAAAACCTTCACGGCGCGCATAACTGAGATAAAACACATGGGAACGCTTGAAGTTCCTAAACCTGTACTCCCTAGAACGCAGGCGGGAGAGATACATGATTATATACACTTGGAAAATCCTAGAGGGATTAGTACCGAACTTGCACACGAAAATCACTCCCTATGAAAGCAAAAGACTTGGCAGACGGTGCAACATCCCCCCAATGATAAGCAGGGGTGTCACTAGCACGATAAGAGACAACACAATAAATGTAAGGAACCCAAGACTGTTCAACTGCCTCCCAGCATACATAAGGGGGATTACCAATAGACCCCTGGCTGTCTTCAAGAAGGCACTAGACAGACATTTAAAGTAAGTACC